AACACTTGGTTCCTTAAGGTTAGCTTGAAAGGCTAAGTTTGACTCCGGTTAATATTTTGAGTAAGCGACCTCGGAATGGGGATTTGACGGTTCCTATAGGTTTGTATGATGATTTTGGACTTTGGCGTATGTTCGGATCGGGTTTTGGATGATCCGGGAGCGTTTCGGTGCCTAATAGTGAAAGTTGGCATTCGAGTAAATTTCAGAAGTCTGGGTTGAAGTAGATTTTTACATACTAGACGTCCGCTTGGGATTTCGGGCCTGAAAATAGCTCAGTATGGTAATTTTGGACTTGGGAGCGCATCCGGAAGGGGATTCAGAGATCCATAGGTCATTTCGGGGTCAATTGGCGAAAGTTGGAAATTTGAAGTTTTTGGAAAGGCTGACGGAGGGTGGACCTTTTGATATTGGGTTCGGATTCCAGTTCCGGAAGTTGGAGTAGGTCCGTAATGTCATTTAAGACTTGCACGCAAAATTTGACGTCATTCCGAGGTGATTTGATAGGAATCAGACGCACGAAAGTGTTTTTAGGAATTTTTGAGTTCATGAGTTAATCCATGCATTTTGGCATCTGATTTATGGTTTTTGGTGTTATTTCAAGCTTACGATCGCGTGAGCAAGTTTATATGATGTTGTTAGACTTGTGTGCGTGTTTGGTGTGGAGCCCCGAGGGCTCGGGTGAGTTTCGGACGTTCGGAAAGATGAAAAACACACCAGTTTTCTGGTGTTTCTTGGCAGCAGTTGCAGGTCTCACAAATGCGAGAAATTTTTCGCAAATGCAAACCTCGTTTGCGAGAATAGCTTCGCAATTGCGAAGAAGCTCGACCTGGAGCAGTGTTCGCATTTGCGACCTCAGCAACTGAAGCCCAGGGTCCGCATTTGCGAGGTATTTGTCTCATTTGCGACCTTCACATTTACGAACCTGGTGTCGCAAATGCAACATCAGAGACCTGTGCCCAGCTCATTTAATGCAGGACTTAGACCATTTATCTCATTTCACTTCATCTCTTGGGCGATTTTTGGAGCTTTTGGAAGAGGTTTTTCACCTAGCACTTTGAGGTAAGAAGTTTCTACACAACATGAGTTAAATACATAGATTATGGTTAGATTAACATGTAGAAATTAGTGAAAATCAAGGGTTTAGATGAAAACCTAGGTTTTTGATAAAAATGAGATTTGACCACGAAAATGATTATGGAACTTAGTGAAAATCATATATTTATGTTCCTAAGGTTATGGGTAACAACTTTCTTAAAAAAAATTCGGAATCGGGGCACGTGGGCCCGGGGGTGAATTTTAGGAATCTTGCATTTAGGGTTGGGTAATCACTTTAATAATGGTGATATGAACGTTTGAACATAAATTGATTAATTTATATAATATCTGACTAGTTTCGAGTCATTTGGCACCACATTTGGAGGTTTGAGCACATTCTTGAACCGGGAAGTAGGCTTTGAGACGAGGTAAGTCTCCTTTCTAACCTTGTAAGAGGAAAATTTCCCCATAGGCAAATTAACTAGTGTGTGTGACTATTTGTGGGCGGCTACGTACGTACGAAGTGCCGAGAGTTCGTGCGTAGCTACTATTTATGCTAAAGTCCAGGTAGTCTAGGACCCATATCATGCTATACTTGAAATGATTGCGCCCTTACTTGTCAATTGGATTGCTTAATTCATAAATTCAAAAAAAAATGTTAAAGAACTCCAAAGGGGGTAAGTTTCACTTATTTGAGGTTGTGAATAGAACATTTGACTGTTAATGAAAAACTTGTGTTTCTTAAAGTGTTTTCTTATGGAGCGGGACGAGCGCCTCGGCAGGTTAAATATATGTATCTATGGTTCGCGTCGTTCGACCTTCGGCAGTGCACAGTTTAAATATTATTATGTTGGTTTGGGCCGTATGACCTCGATTATTTGCGCATGATAACTCTTGGGATTTTTCATAACTGATATTGCTTCAATGTTTGATAAAAGATAAATTTGGGATTTAATAATTGTGAAATACAGATATTTATCATCTTTGGTTGTTGAGTTCTAATACATTCCTTGTAATCCACGTGTAGTTATAAATTGACTTATTATCATTAGCCTTAGTAAGTGTCAAGTTGATCCCTCGTCATTACTTCTTCGAGGTTAGACTGGATACTTACTGGGTACATATTACTTTATGTACTCACGCTACACTTCTGCACTTAATTGTGCAGGATTTGAGGCAGGTGCATCTGGATACCCGTCCGACGCGCATACTTGGTCATGGTTCGAGATTTCACGTTGAGCTGCCCCTTCTAAGCCGTTCAGCAGCATACCGGAGTCTCTCTTTTGTTTGTTTCTGTCTATTCTATTTCAGACAGTAGTGTAGACATCTTTTGTATATTCTACTAGTTGCCCACATACTTGTGTCACTAGATCTTGGTACACATTAGTAGACTTGTGATTTTTGGGTTGTGTTCCTATGGTTATAAATATTTCTAGATGCTTTCATTTATTAACTTAAATCGGTATTCTCATTAACTCTTTTAAATTATGGAAAAATTACTACATGGGAAACTCATTAAAATGGGAAATCACTAGCTTGTTCACTGTTGGCTTGTCTTGCAACGGTGTTGGACGCCATCACGATCTGATATGGAGTTGGGTCGTGACACGCCTAATATCGATTATTCCACCGAATTCTTGCTACATCCCACCAATGCAGAAATAACTTCTTTGAGTTCAAAGAAGATTGCTCCAACTACTAAGGGAACCCAGTTTTTTCCGTTTTTGGAATGTGTTGATGAATAATAAGAATCTAATGCCTGATTTTTTTATATCTATCTATACTATATTAAAAGTACGAAGGCCCTTAACAAAATGTTGTTTGCCTTTTTTATCCCTTAGTAATTGGGTTTACCCCGGATAAAATAGTCAATTTTATTAATTTCCAAATATTTAGGATAATAAAATCAACTAAAATTTTGTTCATTAAATTATTCCTTATTTGAACTATATATGAAGTCCTAATATTTAGGACTCTAAAATTGATAAATATTCTTACCTTATATAAATCAACTAAATTTTCAAGTAAGTATTCCGTATTCACCAAATTGCATTTGGACATGCGAGGAAGAGTTCTAAACTTCCGATCCTACTGCAAGTTCCACCAAGTCCAACGTGAAGGGTGTGAATCATTATAATCAATTTGAGTGATTGGAAAGGTATAAAAGTTCCCATAGACACATAATTTAGTTCTGTAAGCTTTATTAAAATATAATTATATTGGGAATAATTTAGGTCCAAGGTGCAACTCTCATTAGGAATAATTTCTTTATCTATACTATATTAAAAATACGAAGTCCCTTAGCTTTTTAAAAAATAGAAGTCCACATTAGACAAAATAGTAATTTAAGTTATTTTCTAATATTTAGAATTTGAAATCAACTAAAAATTTATTTGTTAAATTGTTTCTTATTTGAACTATGTATAAAAAGTCCTAATATTTAGGATTTTAAAATTATTTTTTGAATAGCTTGATTTCCATAAATTATAAGTATAAAAGTGATTATTGAAACTTACATGTGAAAAGAGGAAAACACCTTAATTTAATAAAACACGTCCACAAATGCATGAGCGATCGCTCTAGGCATTAATGAGCAAATAAATTTCACGGTTCTCCTAAAAAGAACAGTTTACTTAGAGTCAATGTATGAAATATATAACTTAGATTAAGATGAGCAACTCAGAAAAACCATGTAAAATTAGTTATCTGTCAATCTACTTGTAATCGTAAATGCACTAAATCTCAAGCAAGTCAACTTTTTATTTTTTTTTAAAATTTGATTTTACATTTGGCAAAAATAGTATTTTATCATTTCTAATATTTAAGATTTTGAAATAGAAATAAAATTTAGCCTACGAAATTATTTTTTATTTAGACTATACTTAAGAATTCCTAACGTTTATGACTAAATCACTAAAATTTTATTTGTATAAATTCTTTTCTCATTGAAAAATTTAAAAATAAAATTCTTATTAGCTAAAATACAATTTACTTATTAAATGTTTTCTTGTTTGAACGAATATGTAGGATCTCCTAACATTTAATAATTTAAAATTAATTAATATTTCATCTTACATAAATTTTCTTAATTGAACACATTGAAAATAAAAGTTTAATTCGATAAATTATAAATACAATTGAATATTTAAAATTTGAGATGATTTAAAATAAAAGTTTCAAAATAATATCTATTTATTATACTATTAAAAAAGTACAAAATTTGAATACACAAAATATTTATCATCGATAAAATGTGAGTGAAATCAATTTGAGAAAAGGATAAAGAATGAAACTAAAGTGCATATAATGTTTTTAAACTTTTCATCTCTTTTGTTATAAAAGCAGCTTAAACCTCATTTTCTACATAAAATATCTATTTTAGAATCTTGATAAATTAAAATTAAATATTATTTTGCTTATTTTTCAGAAATGTGAAAAACTAATTGATTTGCTACAGGATTAAATTTAGCATAAAGTTTTTTTATACTCTATTTTATATCAACTGAAAGATAGCTCTTATTTCTGTTATAAAGATCGATTGTCCAAAATTTACAATTAATATGGTTATTTCCTTATACTCATTACTCACCTTTTTTAAAATTCATTATCTTCTTATGTAATTACATTATGAATGTAACATTTATGAAGAGATGTTAGGGGAAATATAACATCATAACATATTTATTTTTTGATACAATAAATTATTTATAATTACAAATACTATGTAACTAATCCAACTAAATTCATCATCTTTTGCATGTTCAAAGATATTGAATTTAACTATTCTGTCAATGTAAATTAATTTTTATTATAAACATATATTGCATTTATTTTAACTTCAATTGGTATTTTCAATAACTTTTTTTATCTTTTATACGTTTAATAATGATTGACGCGATGTACACGTGCAACACACGTACACCGACACTAGTATATACACTAGTATATATATTACGCTATAAAGCTGCAAAATACAAGCTCTTTGTGATAACATATCCCTTCCCTCTTACACACATCCTGTATTCAGTTTACCACAGGATATATACATAATAAATACAGTTATCATAAGTAGCTTGTGTTTTGCAGGATAAATACATAATAAAACATAACACATGCAGTTGCTATTTCTTGAAAATGGGACTAACTCCATCAGACGACTAACAAATAGAAATTTATTCCCAAAAAGAGATGGCGTGCTGCTATTCAATGCTAAAAGATTAGCTTGACAGTGCTTATCGAAGTAACAAAAATAACCTTGCCCAACAACAGGGACATTAAAAGTTTCAAATCCATTATTTCCTTATCACGCTTCGCCGTTGAGAAACTCTTTTTTTTCTTCTTTATCCTCTTTCCTCAGCTAAGCAGCTGTCTGATAAAGGTAGCTAAATAATCAATGCTATCATTCATTGCTGGATCAACTGTCGAATGACGTATGGGAGAATGCCTCCATGGTTGAAATAAGCCAATTCCACCTGTAAATGGAAATCAAAGCGCCAATACAAAGTTAAAGACCTAATATTAAGGAAGATCGAACAGGAGATCTCTACTATAGAGGAACATTCTCCTGTAAAAGCTTCATTAAATTTGAATGTGTGAAATACACGCAGGAGCATACCGAGACCATCTCTCAATTCGCATTCTTTGTGTTCTTCGAGTATATATAGCAGATGTTAAGAGACACAAGCTATTTGTAATTCTTAAAAGGATGATATACATTATCTTCTTTCTAGATCGTCATGAAACTTTCTTCTTCTATACTTTTATGTATGTTTTTACTTGCATCTCATTATGTCATTTGACTGTGGAGCAGCAATTGCAGATGCAGAAGTTGATTTCAACATCAGTACCAAGCATGCACCCAAAATATCTGCATGTAAAGATTATAACTAGTCTAATTCTGACATTCTTTTTTGCTGTGTCCTGTTAAAAGACATGTATGATTTTAGGTGCACAAGAGAAATTCAAAACCCTCCCGTAAATTTAACTTCAAGACACGAGTCAAAGACCAAATTACTTGTGTTAAAAAATAGTATTATGACCCTCAGGGGTTGGCCTGGTGGCAATAGACTTGAGTTTGGGGTTTGCTCCCTTTCAAGGTCTCAAGTTCGAAACCCACTGGGTGCAAACAATTTCTGAGGGCCATCGGATTGGGTAAAACCTGGATTAACCGTGGTGCACTTGCGGGAAACTCCTTGCCGAGGGCCTGTGCACCCCCGGGATTAGTCGGGGCTCTTAGAGACTCGGACACCCGGTGCAAATCAAAAAAAAAAAAAAATAGTACTATGATTTTAGGTGCTCAAGATAAATTCACAATACTTGTGTAAGTTTAACTTTGGAATACACAAGACCAACGTACTAGACAGTCATCCCCACTTTTAATCTTCTATACATTTTTGGCTGCAAAGGGGAGGGGAAGGTAAAAGGAGAGAGGAACTCATTTTTTACTTTTTCACATAAAATATTAATGATTCACGTTGGTTGTTTGGTATGGTTGGCATGACAAATAAAGACACGGGAGAAAGAACTATGGCAATGCGTTAGACATGTCTTATGCCTACATTATTTCATATACACTTCACACTTGATCCGTGTGGGAAACTCATATGAACAGGAATACACCTTCTAACAATCTACACTGGACTATCTGACAGTTGGTATTGACTTTTTCCATTAAACATTCATGGGGTTGGAAAAGCTTTTGGATAACCTCTATATTTACTTCCTTATCAAAAGTAAGGGTAAAACCTTATCACTCCTGTTCTTATTTCCCTGCCTCCGAGACTTTCCCCTCTCAACCCAACCAAATGTAATATAGCCCAGGCTTAACCCACAGTGAATACCAGGATAGGATAGGATAGGATGAGATGTAAAATAAGTACCTCATCTTAACAGCATGACACTTTCTCGATGAGAGACGGAATAAGGAGATAGTTTGAAGAGTTTTATGCGCATGCTGTAGTGTCTCAAACATCATGTACTATTAACATAGGTGGATTCCGGATTTTAATTTTATGGGTTCTAGACCACAACCCTTTTTGCTTACATATATTAACGTGAATTTTTTAACACAAATATGGGGTCTGGGACAAAGCTACTGGGTTTTGTAGATTCGCTCCTGCTACTTTATGAGAGAATCAATGTAATTATAACTTTTTATCAAATCATGTGTATCCAAGTTGGCATTTACAATATATTTAATTCCTCTTTTTATGCTCACTAAGTCGTTAACCCATTTTTCCCTCGTCTGGTCATGAGCCATTCCATGTTCTTTTTTTTCCTCTATTCATATTCTACAGTAGCACAGCTGTAATTATTCAATTTCAGATCCAGTAAAGTGTACAAGAAAGTCATATGAACAGTAACACCCTCTTGAAATTAAATTGTCAAATCAGCATCTTTCACACGATCAAATACCACGAGAAACTATACTAAAAACAATAGAAAGTGGAATATACCTCAGTGTCGAAGCGCACTATGCAAGTGAAAGATTTTCCAGTGTCTGTTCGTACAGTAACATCTTGACCTGGGCGGATCTCACTAATGTTTTTGGGGAGATCAATGGTATATCGCTCATGACCTGTCAACCCAAGCGTTTCTGCATCCTCACCAGCCTTGAAACATAGAGGCACAATTCCCATTCCTACCAAGTTGCTGCGGTGAATCCTCTCAAAGCTTTTAGCAATTACAGCTTTAACTCCCTATCAAACAGTTATTTTCATTAGAAAATCCTATATGATAGAAACAGGAAGAGATCAGCAAAAATCAAACAGAAATGTTGAAAACACACCAACAACATGGGGCCCTTAGCAGCCCAATCTCGGGAGCTTCCACTTCCATATTCGGCTCCAGCCAAGATTATAGTGTCTTGTCCAGCAGACTTGTATTTCTGTAAGTATCATGTATTAGGAAATGTTAGCATAACCTGACAAATCTCTGAAGCGTCAACTATGCTGTCACTAATTTTGAAATGCATTGGGGATTAATCTCAATGTCAACAGAATCTGTATAGGGAAGGCACAATAGTACATAAGCAAACATAAAAAGGGAAGTACCATTGCAGCATCAAACACAGAGAGTTTCTCTCCTGTGGGAATGTGAATTGTCTTTGGGCCAACTTCCCCATTTAACAGCTTGTTTACAATGCGGATGTTGGCGAAAGTACCCCTAGCCATTATTTCATCATTACCACGACGGCTACCATATGAGTTGAAGTCCCTGCGATCAACCCCCCGCTCAATAAGGTACTTAGCGGCAGGACTATCTTTGTGGATGCTTCCAGCTGGTGAAATGTGATCTGTGGTAATACTATCACCAAAGTTCAGCAAGCAATAAGCATCCTTCACACCGTGAGGCCCGGGAGGATCCATTGTCATATCCTTGAAATATGGTGGCTCGTGAATGTATGTAGAACTAGGCTCCCATGAGTAGAGCTTAGCAGCTGGTACTGATAATTGATTCCACATATTATTCCCCTTTGTAATAGCTTCATAGGTACTCTTGAACATGTCTGGCAATACGCTTGATTGAACAACCTAACAAGGAAAGATCACATGCTCAGTTTACTATTTTCTTCATCAATTGTAGGTATACAAGGACATATAAGTAAACTACATGCATACCTCAGCAATTTCTTCAGTTGATGGCCAAATATCCTTGAAGTAGACATTCTTACCATCATTTCCCACTCCAATTGGCTCTTTCTCAAAGTCAATATCAACCTACAAACATTTATAATTTTCAGTTAGTGTCCAACAGCATGGGCTGTATATGATGACATCATATGATGCACATCATACACTACAAACCTGATCTCTGCATGTCAGGACGAAACATTTAGCCATTGTGATTAATGGTCCAACTTATGTGAGATGCTCATGACAGGGACAGTGGCTGAGGTGGATCATTTAATAAAACATGCCAAAAGAGGGCTCTAATGTGTAAATACCAAAATTGTTCACCTTCAGGCTTTCACAATTCCTATTTGGCACCAACCTGGTTCCTTAAGTAGTTGCACTTAACACGATTTTCCAACAATACCTCATTTATCTTATATTTCCATCACTTTGACAGATTTTCTCAAACAAGGCTAGCTTGATAAAAACTCAGCATGTATTATTGTAACTAATATAAACTGACATTCCAAACTCAGCTTGTCTAATTTGACTATCTGGGTCGACATTTCCAATATCAGGATTTTTATCTTATATGTTCATTAGAAGTATGTCTTCACTACCTTTTTACATCTATAAAGTAGTATATAATATATGCCAGAAGCAAACCCCAGGATAAACAATAAAATTTTGTGCATTTACTTACAGTGCCAGCGAGTGCATAGGCAACCACCAAAGGAGGTGAAGCAAGGTAGTTTGCTCTCGTCAAGGGATGAACACGCCCCTCAAAGTTTCGATTTCCAGAGAGTACAGCAGCAGCAACAATGTCTACATATACAACAATAAGTCAAATAATCACCTGGAAGACAGACTAGACAATGCCACTGCTAAATAGAAGCAATCATAAGGAGTTTACCATTTTCTGATATAGCAGAAGCAACTGATTCATCCAAATCCCCCGAATTCCCAATACAAGTTGTGCAGCCATATCCAACAATATGGAAACCTTGCTGATTCAAATACTTCTGCAGCCCACTGTTTCACAACAAATACCACATTTTCACATATATAGTCAGCACAAATGGATGGATAAGTAGAAACTTCATCTGAGAAATTACAAAGAATACCTCTGGAGTAAATATTTTGTAACTACGCCGGAGCCAGGAGCAAGACTTGTTTTAACCCATGGCTTAATCTGGATATCAACAAGGAATGACATTAACAAAATATGAAGAAACCATTGAAGAAAAACAAGTATATAGGACCAAAACTGACATGTAGACCCAGATCGCAAGCCTTTTTTGCAACAAGGGCTGCTCCTAGCATAACACTGGGATTTGATGTATTAGTGCAACTTGTAATAGCTGCAATCACAACACTTCCATGCTTGAGCTCTGCATCTTGTCCATGGAAAGAAAACTTTACTACTTTTTCCTGTGCATCTTTTGGCACAGCAAATCCCTACAGTGAATAGAGCCAGCCAAATTAACATTTCCAATACTCAAAGGTTGACCTTGTAATTCAGTAGTCTTATATTAGTTTGAGTTGCAAAATCACATATCATGAGGAGAGTCAATGGTTAAAGTAGAACAGAGTAGTTGCTCACCTTGAATCCAACCTTATTATCAAGGCAAGAGTGCCAGTCAGACTTCATTTCTTTCAAAGGCACGCGGTCATGAGGTCTATCAAGGAAAAGGAAATATATATCACATGGTTGCAACAATGTTTCTCACATTTAATAAGTTGTTTACCAAAGGCAAAAAATATACCTTTTTGGCCCTGAGACACATGGCTCAACGTCAGCAAGGTCTAGGTGCAACGAAGCAGAGTACACTTTCTCATGTTGAGGCTGAAATCAGGAACGTGACAAGTTCTTTAGAAATTTGTAAAGAAAAAAAGACAACTTATATCTTGTGTTATCTTCTTTCTGCCTAGTGGAAAAAGAAGGATAATTATATCTAGCCAAATTCTTTTATTTATCCCCTAAAGAGAGATTTTTGTGCTTAATAAAAGACACTCGCAGCTGAGGGTAGCAAAGAAGACCAACCTCATTATAGTCGACAAACATATTATTCGCACGCAGATATGCTTCGATCATTTCCACCTAAAATTTTAGGGGTTAGAAAATATCAAAACAATTTACATCTCATCTTCAGGTGTAACGCTTGCAAGTATCTAAACACTTACTGTTTCGTCACTTCTCCCTGTTAGTTTCAGATACTGCAATGTAACATGATCTACAGGAAAGAAACCCATTGTAGCACCATATTCAGGAGACATGTTTGCAATGGTGGCTCTGTCAGCCAATGATAGTTCACTCATTCCATCACCTAAAGAAAAATAAAACACAGTCAAGTCTTTAGATAACCTATTCGCCATCTTGGAATTATTAGTAAGTAATTTGTCCGGTTTCCCATATTTACCATAGAATTCAACAAACTTCCCAACAACACCATGCTTCCTAAGCATTTGAGTGACTGTCAACACCAAGTCAGTGGCAGTTACACCACTGCGCAATTTTCCAGATAACTTGAACCCAACAACTCCAGGCAACACCATGCTCATTGGCTGTAAGTATCACGACAGTAGCATTAGGGAAAAAAGACCATTGAAAGTGAAAACTTCATCAGCATAAATATCATATGTTTAGTACAATTGGTGTGAATTAGACACAATTGGGCATCCTGATATTGTATTTAAAAGAAGAAAAGAAAGCTAAAGAACAAGCAAGCACGACAGAGCCACAAGAACGGGGTGTCTGTCTTCTCTTCGAGTCAAAGGGCACACATCACATGTTATTCGAAAGAGATAAACGAACACAAGAACGCATCAGCCTCCATTCCAGCTTGATGAAAACTTTAGGAATAGAGCTGACTATGTTCATGTAAAATTCTAAGTGAACTCACATTCCACCTTTGTAAAGAAAGATGAATGTGTAAACTTATCACGTCAAGACAAATGGTACGTATATATTTATTTACATATATACTTTGTGGACAGAGCTACCCGATACCTATACTGGTAGAAGGTAGCAAGTGCCCCATGGAACTGGTCGAGGTGCGGGCAAGCTGGCACAGACACCACGGGTATCAAAAAAAGAAAATAAAAAAGGGAGCACAATTTTCAGAACAGACCAAAATAAAAGGAGTTAGATTTGGGTCAAGGAGGACAACGAAAAATTGTTCATTGAAAGAAATAATATGAGGTCAGTTGATAAGCAAAAAGGAAAGCCTAACTTCCAAATACGTCACTAACTGAAGCACAGAAGAATATTCCAAATTTCAGCATAATACACAAACTTTCCTTATGGCATTCATGGTTACATACCTGACCAAGCATTGTAGCTTCTGCTTCAATACCTCCAACACCCCAGCCAGCAACTCCAAGCCCATCGATCATAGTGGTGTGGGAATCTGTTCCGACAACACTATCAGGATAGAGCAAGCCTTCCATGTTAAAGACGACTCTCCCGAGGTATTCAAGATTCACCTAACAAAATTATGGCACCAAAAACTATTATCAGTTCCGGAATATCTTCTTTCATGTTTCAGAGAGATAAATAAGGTTGTAAATCCAAGTGTGTCACTGTCAATGCATTGCCTCCACAGATGAAGGACAACAAATGGACACAATATAAGAAATGAAGCTTGAAAAGAGATACAGGCTAGCACAGATGTGACATTAAATATGCACAGCAGTACAACTGGCCCCTTTCAGTTTTCAGATACAATACCTGATGAACAATACCAGAACCTGGTGGAACAACAAGCATGTTGCGAAAAGCATTAGAACCCCACTTGAGAAAGGCGAATCTCTCCTTGTTCCTTTGGAATTCCAGTTCCATATTAGCCTGGACAGCATTTTCTGACCTTGCCACATCAACTTGAACTGAATGATCAATTACCAGATCTACCGGCACCTGAAAATATGCCCAATAAAAAAAGGATAAGATATTACCATGAAATGGAAATTATTCAAAGACCAATAGAAGAACTGACGATGAATCTTCAAGATACAGAAACCCAATAGAAGAACTGTCACAACCCACAGCGACCTGAATTTTCTTATTAGTAGGAACCATTGACCTCAAACTTATAATAATTAGTGATTGGACTAAGTCCTTGATTCATAAGCGTAAGAAAAAAACATTTCAATAATTATAATCCAAATTATAAAAGCCACGGCTGCATTATGTAGGTGCCGTTTGCTTCAAAAATATTGAAAAACCTGTTTTGGGAAAAAAAAAATCAATTTTTTGCAAAAACAATTTTTCAAACTAACAGCAAGAAAGACAGTTCTTCAAAAAATTGAATAAGATTTGGGTTGAACTCCTCTTCAAAATTTTGAAGGAAACACCACCTTAGTTGTTTCGACATCAACCATTGAAGGTGACTAACCACTGTTTAAGAGATTTTACCAACATCAGCTAAACTTAAAAGAAATGAATACCAATGGATTAATCTTGTCAGAATCGCTGCCAAGCTTGTTCATGGCATCACGCATGCAAGCAAGGTCCACAACAGCTGGTACACCAGTAAAATCCTGCAAAAAAACAGTTAAGATTTAAGCTGCTACATCTCGAATTGCATTTTTTCTTTTTTATTCAGAAACAGGCCAAAGGCCAGTACTTGCAGCAAGACTCGGGCTGGCTTAAACGGTATCTCCACTAGCTTCGGCGCAGTATTTTCCCAGTCAATAATCTTCTCAACATCCTCCTTTTTCACTTGAAAGTTGTCACAATTACGAATTGCTGATTCAAGAAGAATTCTAATAGAATATGGCAGCTTGTCTGTACAATGATGTAACCAAGAAAAAGTCAAAAATAAGAAAACATAGATTTACTGAGAGGACACAAGAATGTGAAATCAAGCACTTCAACAATGCAAAATATAAAAAGTCGTTAATTTGAAAAACTAAAGAAAGAAAAAGGAAGAAAAAGAAACTACCAATCCTCGAGAATGATACATCGAATGAATTAACCATAATTCTCAAATAAGGAATACATTACTCTAGTCATCAAAAAAAATTGCATTAATCTAGAAGTAAGATTTACAACAGGTGCCATTATATAGTACGACAAATTCAAGCAACGGAACAAGCTAGTTATTCACATCACGAACAGAAAAGCAGTTTATTATGTATATAAAAGAAACGTCAGGATCTGATGAAATTACCAATTCGGGGATCATTCAGAGCAGGTAGGCTATAGTACTTTCCGAATTCGCCACCTCCAGGCTTGGGAAGAACAGTAAGGATTTCCTTAAATGGGTTCTCTGCAGCTGAATCCATTGACACACAATATTAGATTCTTGATTTTCTTTTGGGATCAAGAGTCTTGTAAGTCATTCAGTGATAGCAACTTTTGACAATTATCAGAAACATTCTTAACCATTTAATAAGTACCCAACACAAAATACAAACGTTAAAAGAATAAATATCTTGAGTCAACTTCAACACCTGTCATTCAAATGTCCACTTACCTTGGTCTCATTGAAAAGTATTTCTAAATAAAAAAGACATTATTTGGTTCACACTTTTTCTATTTTAATAAAATCCAAAAGATTTAATTATTTCTAGCTTGTGGTGGATATATCCTTAACAAAAATAATTATCATGAGGATCCAGGGGCGGATGTAAAGTATGAGCTACGTTTCAGCCTTTGGCTCATAAACGATATATGTATTAAGAAATCTACTAAACATGTATAAATATAAAATCTCAAAGCCAGTAACTCAAATAATCAGTGGGTTCACTGCCATTCCGAACCGATAAAGTTCAAATCTTGGATCGTCCTTTGTGAGGATCCAATCTATAATGAAACAACAAAAGACTGAATATTCACAACAATCCAATGAATGTTCTTTTTTTACTTATACAACTTGGACTCAGGACATTAAATTAAGGCTGAATTAACAAACAATATTATGCTTAGGATTCATATATACATCGGAACAAAAATGAATGTATTGTTGGCGGAAAATCCGATGAAATGCTTTTTACAACGTTAACATATACATTTTTAGGAGGATAATCTCAGCAGCAAATTTAATGAAAACAGTGAATGACAATTACCCATGGTTGAGAGTTTTCGATGGAAATTGTTGGGAATAGGAGTAGTGGCAGTAGTTCTGATCTGAGCTTTCAAACTGATCGGAGATTTCCAATTCCACCGCAGCGATCGCACGGCGGAGGAGAAGCTCAAGGAACGGTGCTGCTGATTATAGAAAAAAGTAGAAGAAGAGCCACTAGGGCGATAATAAGCAGCAGAAGAAGAGGAAGAAATAGTAGAGATTGAAGAAGAGGAAAATCTCGGCTTGGAAAGAGCAGCAGAAGTGGTGTACATAACTATTCTCTATATATATTGGTATATAATGGGTATATACAGTATGATATTTTATTTGGGCAGATCAGATTCAAATAATAATGACAAGTTAGGTAGGTGGGGGCAAATGGGTATCGGTGGAAAGATGTTTTGGGTGGGTGGGGGAGGGGGGTTAACTGTTTGGGCTTTGGTAGTACCGTAGTAGTAGGGGTAGGCGTGTGGAGGCGGCCTAGGTTCGTGTGCCGTTTATTCTTGATCAAGAAAAACAGCGAAATTTGTTGTAAGAAAATATGGAAGAGCGAGACTCGTGAAGAGATGAGGATAAAGATGATTGATCGGGTTGCACGTCGCAACAAGTCTTAGTGTTGTATATATTATAGTATCGAGATACATGCCGCAACGATATAATGTTTGGACCGAAGAAGCCCATTCGAGTCTATATGATTGGCGGGGGAAAAAGAATACCAAATAGAATATTCGGACATCTTTGAAGTATATGAAAATTATTACTCCCTCTATTTCAATTTAGATAACATACTTAACTTATCTAAAGTCAATTTGATTACTTTAAATTAGATTAGTTCAACTCAATATTTTAAAATTAAAATTTTAGATATTCAAAAACTATACGAATAATACTATAAGTTACAATTTTTGTCACTTAAATATGATAAAAAAAAACTTTAAAATGTTGCTCAAACTTCACACAATTTGACTTTCAATAAGAAAAATGCGTCATCTAAATTGAAACAGAGGGAGTATATCCTTCTATACGAGATTATTTTTGTGTTATTTTGTTTGTTTTAATTTTTCATATAAAATAGTATAATAATTTAAGACCTAAAAGTGGCTTTGATACTTTTTCTTTTTTGCTAATAAGGTGACTTAGATTAGAAATTAAAAACATAACAGTTATAGTTATTACAAGCGTTCAAGTCTTCAAAACAGTCTTTATTAAAAATTGATAATACTGTGATATGAGTTTAGTAATGCTGTGATAACTTTGATTTTTTAACTCATACTTTCTTTTTCTTTTTCTTTTTCTTTCTCTTCTCTCTCATGCTCTCAGCGCACGTTAGATAAACGTACGCCGGCGTGGCCATGGGAAAGGGAGGGGTCGTGGGCGAGGAAGACCAAAACGAACACCTGTTATAACTTTTGGAAGTACAGTAAGCTCTAAGACGCAAGTGGGAAAGATGAATTCAACACAGGATCATGCAATGGTGACACCGGAGACGGAATTCGATAGCAAAGGAAATTGGCTCATCTTCGAGAGATACAGGGGTAAGTAAGAAGCTCAATCTCAGTGGTTCACCTTTAAATTACCAATTGGCTCAATAAGTAAAGGAAAATCATATGGGGAAAGCAATGGAATAGTACCCATTGACAACTCTATTGGGGGAAAGCAGTGGAACAGTTACATTGAAAACCCTAATTTAGAGAGAAGGAACAGTGAGGTCCCAAATCGAGAAAATACACCTGAGGAGGACAATTTGAACAAATATGAAAAGGTGAGTGCCAACGTAGGCACGAGTGGTAGTGAGAACTCCCAGGTTAAGGCTAATGAAACAGAACAACCTACTGTTGTTGTGGGATCCAAACCATGGGCAAGCCTTTTCCAACAGAATAGAGTCACAACTCATGGAATGGTATTGAGATACATCCCCCTCAAATTGTTGATGGGCAGCCAGTTGTTCAATTGGAATTGCAAGATGTGGAAAAAGAAGAGGAGAAACGGAGTTGTGCATTGATTGCCTACATCATTGGGAGTAATCCAAGATACAATGCAATGAAGAGATACATTGATCAATACTGGTTGGATGTTGCAGAACCGGTTTGCATGATGAGGGGTACTATGTCATCAAGTTTCAGTCAATGGAGAATATGCATAGAATCTTCTATGCTGGCCCTCACACTATTAGTAATAGACCAATCATCTTGAAGCCTTGGACGACTGATTTTGATCTGAGCAAGGAGTTTCTCACAGAAATTTCCTTATGGGTAGTCTTACATAATTTGCCAATGAGCTACTGGGAAAGTGAGTCGTTAAACAAAATAGCTAGTGCAATTGGGAAGCCACTGTTTGTAGATGGGTGCACTACAAAGCAAACAAGAATATCATATGCAAGAATGTTGATAGAGGCTAATGTGACTAAAACTCTACCAACAGAAGTCACTATCATGGACTCAAGAGACAAGAAATTTCAACAACAGTTGGTATATGAGTGGAAACCAGTGTATTGTGATAATGCCAATCTATTGGACACACATGTGCTAACCAGCAAGTCCCTAAACCACAACATGTAGAACAGCCTAGAAGAAGAAAAGAAGCCAGAAAAGTTACCTATGAATGGAGAACCAAGGGCCCTGTGGTGAATGCAGAGGTTGCTAAGGAAGAACAATCTCAGGCCCCAAATGTGCAACACTATACTCAAAGCAGTGACCAAAGGAAAGCCCAAAGGATTTGTCCAATCCCAGAAGCAAATACAACATTGAGGCAAGAGTCAGTGCAAAAATGGAAAGAAAAGGAAGTGGCCAACCCAGAAATGAACTTGACAAATTTTTCTATGCTACCAACTTCCACAAGCATAGCTGAGGTTTTGGTGACTAAAAGGGGTCATAGTGCAAGCATTTCCCTGCCTCATGATCGAGGAGGGGTTAAACAAACCAATTAATAACTTGGCTTTTCTGGAATTTCAGGGGTGTGAACAAGTGGTATAAGCAGAAAGAATTGAAGAACTACCTGAAAATTAATAATATTAGACTAATAGTATAGTAGAAACAAGAATGAAAGAGCATAATGCAAGAAAGGTTTGTTGTCATATTGCCCCTGGCTGGGGAACTCTTCATAATTACAATTATGTTGTCAATGGAAGAATATGGTTACTATGGGATTCAAGTTATTGTACAATTACCCTATTGAGAGTAGAAGCGCAACTAATTCAATTAAAGGGGTTGCTGATGATATTGATTAATTAGTGACAGTTGTGTATGGATACAATACTGTAGAAAAGAGAAAACACCTGTGGGAACAACTGGAGGAGATTGCACAGGGGATTGCCAAAATATGGCTTATTGGAGGAGATTTCAACTCAATTCTGTACTCACAGGACAGAATGTATGGAAATCCAGTTACTGCAGTAGAGACTTGAGACTATGCAAATTGTGTACAAACACTAGGTCTTAATGAATTGACTTGGGAAGGGGAATATTATACATGGTCTAATAATCAATCGAGAGATGACATGATATGGAGTAGAATTGACAGAATGTTTGGGAACTAGATTGGATGATGAATGGGGACACATTTTTACTGAGTATGGACTGCCTTATATCTCAGATCACTCTCCTATGTGTCTAAAGTTAACAATCAAACATTGGACTGGGAAAATACCTTTTAAGTTCTTCAATGTATGGGCAAATCATGAAGATTTCTTATCCATTGTAAAACAGGGATGGGGGCAAAGACTCAGCAGTAGGAAAATGTAAAATATCTGGTTGAAATTGAAGGCACTCAGACTTGTGCTAAGGAAGCTGAATAATGAGGAATTCAAGTTCATTAAGCAGAAGATAGAAAGAGTCAGAGCAGAGCTTACCATCATACAGGGCCTTATCTCTGCACAATGTACAGATGAGCTATTAGTGGAGGAGAGACAACTAATACAAAACCTTGATAAACGGGATTTAATGGAGGAAGGTGCTTTGAAACAAAAAGCTAGAGCAAAGTGGATCAAGCTAAGAGACTCAAATTCAAAGTATTTTGCAGCAGTTATAAAGGAAAGGCAAAAGAGGAAACAGATAATTGAGCTTACTTCTCTTAATGGAGACAAATTATTTGAACCTGAATATATCACTAATGAAATAGTGAGTTTTTATAAATCATTGAAGGGATTTGCAGCACACAGCCTACCAGCAATATAAACGGACATAATGCAGAAAGGGCCAATATTGTCGCAGCAACAGTGGATTATACTGTGTCAAGATGTCAGTGAAAAGAAGTGTATGATTGATTAATATCAATTGGTGATGACAAAGCCCCTGGAGTTGATGGATTCAATGCATATTTTTTCAAGAAGGCATGGAAGGTCATTCATCATGAAGTACAACAACTATTATGGATTTCTTTGCCACTGGGAAACTATACAAAGCAATCAATTGTATAGATACCACCTTAGTTCCCAAGACTGGAAAACCTAAAACAGTTAAAGAATTTAGACCAATTGCATGCTGCGGAATGCTTTATAAGATTATTTCCAAATCCTGGCTGCTAGAATTCAAGTTGTTATCTCTACTGTAAATAGTGAAGCACAAGCTGGCTTTATACCTGGTAGGAGGATATCTGATAATGTCATTTTAGCACATGAATTGGTCAAAGCCTATTCTAGGAAACACACCTCCCCCAGATGCATGATTAAGATAGATCTTCAGAAGGCCTATGACTCTGTGGAATGTCCCTATTTGAAACAGGTTATGAAAGAGCTAGGATTTCCTAAATTTTTCATCTCATGGGTTATGGAATGCATACAGACAGTCAATTATTCTGTCATAGGTAATGGAGAATATTCAATGCCATTCAATGTTGCCAAGGGCCTCAGACAAGGTGATCCAATGTCACCTTCTTTTTTTTGCAATTGCTATGGAATACTTGAGTAGAAGCTTACATGATCTTAAGACAAACAAAGAGTACAACTATCACCCCAGGTGGTCAAGGCTCAAGATTACTCACTTATATTTTGCTGATGACCTCTTGCTATTTGCTAGAGGGGATATGACGTCAGTTGCTGCAATAGCTCATAAATTCCTACAGTTTACAAAAGTATCTAGGCTACATGCTAACCAAAGTAAGAGTGCAGTATATTTTGGAGGAGTATCAACAACAGTGCAACAACAGGTCTTAGAGCACTTGGGTTTCAACAGCAGACCTACCTTTTAAGTATCTAGGAGTTCCTCTATCTACCAAGAAATTGAGTATCATGCAATTGCAACCTTTGACAGACAAGATGACATCAAAAATAACCTCTTGGACTGTAAAGAGGCTCTCCGATGCTGGCAGAATTCAGATAGTCCAAAGTATTTTGTTTGGAATATAAGCGTTCTAGGCTCAA